GGTGCTGCAAGCGGGGCCTGGACCGGCTCCCTCCCCTCTCCGCTCCCTCCCTTTCTCTCCCTGGCTTTGGGCGCTCTGCGCTGCAAACCGGCTTGGGTTTCCTCGGCCCTTTTAACTCTTTCCTCGGCAGCGATTTTTCCTTATATACGTTTTGGGGTTTATTTTTGTTGTTTTGTTTTTGTTTGGTTTGAGGTTTTTTTTGTTGTTGGTTTCTTTGGTTGTTTTTTGTTGTTGAGTTTGGTTTGTTTGATTTTTCTCTGCCTCTTCTCTTCCGAACAGCTGAGCCCTGGGCAGCAAACTGCAGGCAGCACGGACAGCACCCTGTGTGAAGGGTGGGCTGGCAGCAGGGCAGTGTCCCACCATGAGCATCTCAAGACGGGTAAGGTGGGGTGCATCGCTGCAAAAGACAGGTTTCCCTTCAGGTGGGATGGGACAGGGCTCTGCTCTCACTCCCTTCCCTTAGTCCCTTGTCCCATGCATTAGCCCTTAAGCCGCCTGGCCCTGCTCTCTCTCCATGTGTGCTGGTCCCACCCTTAGTCCCCAAACTTCTTAATCTTCCATTATCTCTTGCATTATTTCTTCTGCACGTCACTGCAGCCTCTCGCCTGAGGCATGATATTTGTAGCAGGCTCATCTGCCAAGTGGGAAAGGCTGCAATTTTTTCCCTCTCCGGTCAGCTGCTTTCCCTAGACAGAACCCCAAGACTTGCACTCCAGAGCATGTCATCCCCTGGTCATATCCACAGGTCAGGTCCATCTCATCCCCTGGTCGTGTCCCCTGGTCAGGTCCCTGGCTGAGCAGTTCACACGAGAGGGGTGTGCCTTGCCTGAAGGAAAGCCAGCAAAGCTGAGGATCTGGAGCAAACCCTGGTGTGATCTCTGCATTCAGCCTGGCCCTAAGCTGACGTGCTATGTGGCTGCACCAGGACCTGGGAATGAGGGCATTTTGTGGTGAAGGCATGTGAGGGGATACACAGGAGACTTTTCTTACGTTGTAGAATCAGCTAAGAAGAGGATTTAGGGGGTCTTGCCCTGTAGCAAACCAGATTTGGATACTTCTCCCTGGTGGCATTCACATAGGTATCTTTGGGATGCTGAAGGAAGGATGGGCAATAGCTCTCTTCTGTGGGGACCAGAAGTGCCAAGTCAGCACTGGGCCTCCTGCAGTTTCTGAGAGAAGCTGGAGAAGGCTCCAAGGTTTCCAAGGGGGAAGGGTTTTTTGCATGTCTACGTGTGCTTGGACTTTTTTCTTTCTGTTTTCCTTCTCCCGTTTGTTTGGTTTGGGAATGGGAGGCCCTGCTTCCCAGAGAGTGGCTGGCGTTTGGCAGGACCCCAGCACCACTGGAGAAGCAAGCGGAAAACTCTGGGAAAATATGTGCTGCAAGCTGGGGGGAAGGGAGGAGGGGGGGCTGGGAGGCCTGGAGATATTCTCAGGCTGCCTGTCAGACTGGAGCTCAATGAACATGGAGCGAACATGCCTCCCAGTCAGGGCGGGAAGAGGACCAAGAAATTAGCTGCTGTGCTCGTGAGTTCCATGCTGGGTTCCAGCACTGACACGTAGTGAGACCAACTGTAAACTCCCCACGTTTGCCCGTGCCTCAGTTTCTCCTTTTGGAAAAGGAGAGGGGGAAGGGTTGGGGCAACCTTATTGCTAAGGCAGCCTTGCCAGCTAACAGAAGTGGGGTTTTTGTGATCAGTTGTGTTGTCTATTCCTGCCTGCTGCTCCTGGAGATTTTGGCAGCAGATAGTACTATTGTTGAAAGCCAATACATTTTCTGGGGTACATGAAAACTCAGAGACTGGCAGTGAAGACAGAGCTCCTCTTCGTCCCATCAAAACTATTGCAGTAGCTCCCCCCTTAGGTTTTCCTGTGTGGCTTATTTCCAAGCATGACATGACCCTCTGTTGCAGCTCTGTGCCTTATGTCTTGCCTCCTCTACCTTTGCAAGGGGAACAGGTAGCAGGGAGGACCATTGTCCTTGTTTCCATCTCATCTTTCCATCTGCAGTCCTGAGTTACTCACAACCAAGCAAACATTCTTCATGGAGAACCTCATCAGCTGGGCCTTTGCCTTTTTCTCATCTGACTGCAAGAACAGCCTACAGTGGGCAGTGAGCAGTGAGCACGACTTTGCATTTAATGTCTCATTGGAGCTGATCAGAGACCCATGGGGAGCCAGCAGACAAAGCCTTGTGCTGGTGGCATTGCCCAGGTGGGCAGCAGTTTATGCCAGTAAAGAAACTTTTTTCTCCCTGAAGGGGACTGATTGTACCAGCAACATTTTGCCAGGGCAGCCCCATTTGCAAGAGATTTTGGCTTCTATGGCTGAGTGCTCAAAGACAGGAGTTTTGAGAATGCTATCCAAAACCCCTGTGCCAGCCACGCTTTTAAGTGTAACCCAAGCCTGAAGGCACTTCATGTGCTCAACAATCTTCCCACTCCCTCATCACATACTCTGCTTTGGAGGCAGCCCAGGGAACCTCTGGCAAGACTGGACTACAACAATCCCTGCTGAAAAGCAGCTGCTTCATTTTCCTTCTACATTTCCTCCCTTCTCCTGCAACGCCCCCCTCATGGGGCATAGTAGGAGGACAAAGCCTGACAGTCCCCCAGTGATCATCTCCATCCTATTAACCCTCTTTACCACAGGTACAGGTGGAAATTACTTTGATGTTTCCTTCCCTTTCTACCTCCTGTGTACAGCTCAGCTCCCCCCTGCACACGTGGACCCCCTGCCCTGCAACACACACTCACACACACCTACTTTCATCCACCCACTAACACCCACACAACTCATCCTTCAAGGCTCCTCCCTCACCAAAACCTCTGGAGCAAAGGTATCATCCCCACCAAGAGGCAGAAAACCAGCCTATTTTCTTTCCCTTCCTGGCTGCTTCTCCTCCACAACAGCTGTTTTCCCTTTCCCCTTCTCTCTTGCCCTCTGCCCCACTCTCCAGGAGCATCACCAGCCTGGAGAGGAAGCAGAGGACCTCTTACCTCCGCTCCCCTCCGGAGGGGTCCGGCGCTGGGTTATCCGTATCCTCAGCTGCTCCTGGTTAGGAGCACGGGGAGGGAGGGCTGGCAGGGCCCAGCTGACTTCAGCCAGATGCTGGCCAAGTGCTCTTATGTAATTACTGTCTATTCCATCCTGCCTCCAAGGCCTTCTGCGAGTGCCTTCCCCCTCTGCTCTGGCCCGTGTCAGCTTGGCTCTTT